CAACGACAACGGCATTCTCTAACCTTTCACTTCGCGCCAGGCGAAAGTGAGCTGAGTTGAGATGAGTGTACCTGACCCCTACCCTCTGACCCCTAACCGATCACCAGCGAACACTTTCGAAGCGGCTTCGGCATGGCTTGGCTTGGCCCAACACCTCAGTTCATGGAAGTCGCCTTTTGTTGCTCTTTTGGCATTTTATTGGCATTTTGCTAGCACAAAGCGCCGATCTCGCTGATTATGCTGATTATGGGAAGTACACACACACACACACACAGTTACAGAGCTCATACGTATGCATATTATGGCTTGTTGAAATTAAGCCCAGTTTATTTCATTATTACTGAGGCATTTGTCAATCAAATTGTGAATTTTCATTTATGTTTTCTTTTGAGAATTAAGAAATGTGGATAAGCTCTGATAAAAAATTCGATTAAAAGTCATTTTTTTTCATTTTTTAGTTTCTTGTATAAAAGTCATGTATTTTGTTATTGTATCTTAGAATTATTCATTCTAATCTTATAGTTTATTATACAGGCAGGCAAATTGTTAAGGATATGAGCGCTGCCCTTAGAATCAATCATAGATCGTGAAATGTATATTTCTGATTCTCATTTTCACTTCCTTTACAGCTGCTATATGAGCCTATATAGGGAGTTTCTTGATACTCATCTAGTCGCCTCAAACTGCAGGCTTAAAGACTTGTGTGATACTTCAGAGGCTGAGTCTGATTAACCTAGGTTGGCTAATGTGCTTTGTAATTGTTGGAATATCTAAACCACTAAACCACTGAACCTTCTTTTTAATCAACAAAAATATCTTACATCAGTTATTTACCCAATAATGTCTGTTAGTTATGTATATATATTTATGTAATTATATATACTATATAATTATACATTAATTTGTCATATGTATATATTGCTATAGCATATGAGAAAGTTATGGTAAAGCTAACTCTAAACAATGTGTAAGCTGTGTCGAGTACATTTTAAAGCTATGTAGGCCAGTGTTAGTCGTTAGGGCTGTCTATCTGCTTAATGGTAATGTTAATCTTAGCTTAACTTATTATACATTCAACTGTATTAAAGTATCTTTTTAATATGCCAAATATAGCTTAGGATTATGTGTTTTGGAGCTTAAGTTAAGTTAATAAATGCGCAGTTTCTATACTGAAAAAAAAAAAAATTAATAAAAAATAAAATAAAATAGTTTAAAAAGAATATAATTTATTATCTGGGATCATTACTCGCCTAGGTCTAGTT